GAGTTGAAAGTTGCGGACAAGTTGCTGCGGACACACACACACACACACACACACACAAACCCACACACAGACACCCCGTGACAATATGCGTTTTGTACTGCTGTTACACAGCATAAAACGCATAAAAACGCATATTGCGACGACCATGTTTGTGTATGTATGTGTGTGGTATGTTTGCGTGTGTGTATGTGTGTGTGTTCGTCTGTCTGGGTATTTCAACTCGGCAACCAAGCAAGTTCCAGCGCCATGATTTTGCTAGTAGGTTCCCCGGCCAAGTGCCACCCCAAAACCGCGGGACCACCCCCACGCAAGTCTGGGCCCCGCACACGAGGGGGTGGAAGTTTTGGCGGGAAAATTGATAACTCGGGAACGAGAAAAGATAAAAATCTGAAATTCCGAGGTTATGCTCCCCGTCCAAATATAACTCCAAGATTTCAAATTCAACCTCCAGATATGCGTGGTTCACCCACAGAGCCCCGTGAAATTTTTTGGTGGGAAAATGGCTAATTCGGGAACTAACAAAGTTGGGGAACTGAAATTTTTAGGGAATATTCCCAGCCCATGTACGACTTAAAATTATCAAATTCAGCCTCCAGTCTTACGCGGTTCTCACGTACGGCCCCGTGAAATTTTTTGACGGGAAAATAGCTAAGTCGGGAACTAGCAGAGCTGGGAGGCTGAAATTTTCAAAGAATGCCCCTAGCATAAACACAATATAAGCCTATCAAATTCAGCCCACAGTCGTACGCGAGGGGGCGGGGGGAGGGGGAGGGGGAAAGGGAGGAGGGAAGAAACAGACAAAAGTAACAACCCCTAAAACGATACAAGCCAAATGAAAGTGATGAAACAAACAAAAGTATTATAGAACGTCCTCTGGCAACTATGCAAATTTTCGCATAACAGTGGGCGCTCTATACGTGGAGAGCACTAAGCGTGACGTGACATAATCCAAAACATGCAAATTTCCACGTAAGACGTGGATTTTTATACGTGGGAATCCCTACGCTGACGTGGCTTAATCGACTGTTAGGGGAGCGTAATTTTCCATACGTGGAACATGCAAATTTTTTGGCGGGAAAGCGATCTCAGGAACCACACGAGCTAGAGGGCTGAAACTTCGGAGGGATATTCCCTGTGCATGTACTAGCTAAAGATTTCAAACTCAGTCTCCAGGTGTGTGTGTGTGGTATTCACGTAAGAGCGTATGAAAGTCTTAGGGGGGAAAATTGCTAACTCGATAACCAGAAAAGCTGGAAAGCTGAAATTTTGGGGGAATGTTTCTTGTCCAAGTACAACTTAAGTATTTCAGATTCAGCTTGAGGTATGCGTGGTTCTCAAGTACGGCATTTAAAAGTCTTGGCGAAAAAATTTCTCATTGAACAACTAGGTTACTTTTAAAGGACGACTGTTAAATGGAAATTGTACATTTACTTTGCAAAATTTATAGTGATTTATGCTAGTGACCACAAAAGGTAGGTGTAAAGCAAAGCCATGCAGTTAATGACTTGAGTACTTCGAGTTTGGTGCAAAAACGTATGATCGCACAGGCTCGCCCGGTGCGTGGGTTTTTAGACCAAATCTGTAATAATCAGTAGTGGCGCCCACCAGGGCTGAGGGTGCGATCAAGTTTTTGCACGATTTCGCCCTTCAACAGAAATCGTTCGTACTGGGTTTGACTGCGTTGTTGCAATTTAAACATTTGATGCGTCTGTATGCTCATTTTACGTTTGTTGGCCCGCGCATGAATAGCAAATATATTCACAAAAATACTACTTGCCCAGTCTGGTTACTGGATACCAACAGTGTTCCAAACCAAACTTTCATTTGCACGCATGCGAGTACTAGCTTGCTTTAAAGATGGGTTTGAAATGTCTGGATCGCACAGAAGCATGGAACAACCTCTTAGAATTTTAGCTGCCTGGTTTAACCGGTGACGAAGTCAATTTATTTTTTAGGTGTCAGAATACGCCAAAGTTTACTTTAAATTTGCATGTGAACTATAAGTATTCTCATAAAGTCTGGGTATTCAACTCAATCTGCTTCTTGAGTTGATATTTTGACAACAGCGTCTGGATTTCATTCTTAACGTATCCATATGTGTGATGTGGGCGTACGTAAGCGCTGAATCCGAAGCTTTAGCTTTCTATCCTGCTTAATTCCCGAAGTCGTCTTCCAGCTAAA